AGCTTAAATTAGAATAGAAAAATTTCACACGTCAGCAACATAATTCTCAGAAATCCTGCATGTATATCTTTTTTTAATTGTGACAGATATCCTTAACAAAATAACTCATTATTCTGATGATGCTAAAAGCCCCAACGAAGTGAAAGGCCCAAGTTTTAGATTTAAAAGAAAGTCAACAAAATAAAAGTATTGAGATCTCTACTTAAACAATTCATAGGAACTTGATATTTATTTATGCCCATGAAACAAAGAAGCCGAAGTGTTAGGAAATAAAAGTAAATGGTGAATCCCAATTTACAAATTTTCAGCCAAATTCATGTTTGGTGAAGAAATGGATGACATTATGATATTGAAAATCTTAACCTATTGGTAAAACATTATGGTTGGGGATGATAGTTTAGAAATGTTTTTCTGGTAAATAGGCTTGCCCTTTAGTTAGTGTAGGTAGAAGATGAATTATTAGAATTTTTTGGAGAATAAATATTGCCTTTACCTGACTTCAAAACACGAGTAACACATCCAAAAAAATGCTTCGGGAATTGGAGGCTGCTCTAAAAGAGAAATTACATTAGAAAAACAAAAATAATAAAATTTAATATCTAATTGAATACCCATTATTAGAAATATGCTTCTGCTCTTTCTTTGAGTTTATATCTTTGGATAAATAAAGGCTATGTTATAAAATACTCTTCAAAACCTAAGCAACGTAACAATATAAAATTTTACGTAGGTTTTTTTATGAATATGAGATCAAATACTTTTGTCCAGGTATGTAAATACAAAAAATTATCATTATTGAGAAAAGTATAGGAATCTTTTTAAATATAATAATCTTTAATTAAAAAAATTATCCATATATCCATATTAGATTACATATAAATTTATTGCTAAGAAATAATTTATTTTTGTAATTTTATTTATTATTTATCAATTATTTGAAATACTTCTAATTCGTCATATTTACTACCATGTACTATATTAATGTTATTATATGAGCCACTATTACTGTAAATGGTGCTGTTTGGATAAAAAATAAGATCATTATTACCACCAAAAACAGCTAAATATAAAGGATGACAGCGAATTGCATATTGATAATCATTAGTAACATAACTAAACTGTCCAGAATTAATGTTATTTCTATTGCTAATATTAAAAATAAAACTTTCAGTTGTATTTTTAGCTATATAACTTCCATTATTTAAATTCCAATTAAGTGGGTTATAACCTCCTACTAATTGATCTGAATTTTGTATTTTGCCAACTACAAGAGTTTTATTGATATTATCACATTTTTGATGAAAGGTAGCTACACTTAAACCATCTCTGCTACTACAATATATAAGTTTGAATTCATATTTAACATCTCTGTAAAAATTATATTGTGGACTTTTTCTATCAATCCAACTTGCAAAAAGTAAAGTAAGATGTGGTTTGATTGTCAATGATTTAAGTATTGATTTAATTCTTGGTGGCAATAAATTTAATGCTAGTTGTCTATCTGGAAAGATATAATATTGTAAAATGTCATTCCATAAAACTTTAGGAAAAAGCATTTGGTATGGTACAATTTTATTAAAAAAATCATCTCGAGAAATATCCTGAAATCTTATTAAAGAAAGAAATTCTTTTAATGTGCTGCCTG